AGAGAGAGAGAGAGAGAGAGAGAGAGAGAGAAACAGACTGAGACAGACAGAGACAGACAGAGACGACAGAGACAGACAGAAAGAGAGGAAAAAAGGGAGAGGTCTTTCCCAGTTGTTTGTGTGTGTGTGTTTGTTTGTTTTCTTCTTCATGTTCATCAGTGCTTTTTTTTTTATTGCAAATCATTATTAAACTTTAAAGTAAAATAGCCAAAGTGACAGAAGCTGGGATGACATCAATGACAACCATAGCTATGACTAAACGACGATAATACCAACAACGACGACACAAATTCTGACAACTGACACATCAAACTGACACCCTCGGGTATCACGACAGTCAGAACCTGTTCCCGTAAGATATATTACTATGGCTGCATCCCCCACTTTGACACCTGCGGCGACCCAGAGTTGGTCAAATATATTCAAACCTGCTTAAGACAATCGACCTTACAAACGATCACTTCCCACCCCCACCCCTTCCCCTCTCTTTTGTGTTTTTATAGTTTTTTTAAAAAAGCATTATAATGGCATCGCGAGGCACCTGTCTCAGATGGCAATAGATGACGCCTTAGACAGTTTCAACCTCATAAACAGTTTTGACTGTACGTCAAAAATGTATAAAAGTAATCCCTCTTCCCATTTGGAACTTGCTTGACCCAGCACTTTCCGTGATGCCACTTTTTTGGTTGCCATGACGTCATTTTTAAAAGACGCTTTTAAAAATTGGGTTGGAGGGGGGGGGGTTCCTATTTACCAAACCCCTTACTGTTAACATTTCTGCCCTCTTGTACAGCATGGTGTGGAGGGGAGATGCAAAATTATTGTCGGACGCGGGCCAGAAGTCTTACTGTTTGGGTTGTCGTGCTGCTCTTTTGGGAGTCTGTCAAATCTTCTTTAACCCAAAAATGTGTGTGTTGAAAGGGGAGGGGGTATGACACGAGAGACGGTAACTTCACTTTAAGCAAAACGGTACAAATGAGCAGCACTTGTAGTTACAGCTGCCACGTTGACATGTTACTGGACATGAGAGTACCAAAAACTTTAAGACAATTTTTCATATGTGTCGTCCCTCAACACACATTTATTTATTCCACCACCACCACCCCCCCCAAACACGCCCCCTCCCCTTTCCAAAACCTCAACAAAACCATCGCTTTTTTGTGTTCCTGGTACCCACACCAACTCCTGCAGATCCAGCGACGTCCAAGATTCTGATGATTCAAAATGATGTAAGAAATAGGGTTATTGAATCATGATATACACACCTGCAAACAAATACACATTCACATACACCCACGTGTGTGTGTGGTTTGGGGGGGTGGGGGGTGAATCAACACGTGGATGGATGGATGGATGGATAAATGGAGAGATGAATGGATGGATGGATAGATTGATGGATGGATGGATTAATGGAAGGATGTCAACACGTATTTACGTTCTCAAGCATGCAGGTACGCACGCACGCGCACACGTGCGCGCGCACAC